CCAATGATCCGGTGATCCGGGGATCCGGGGATCCGGTGATCCGGTGATCTGGGGGTCCGGTGATCCGGTGATCGGGTGATCCGGTGATCCGGTGATCTGGTGATCGCGCCCTCCCCCAGCTTCCCTCCCCAGCTTCCCTTGTGAGGTTTGCTCTCGGCAGGCTGAGGCTGAGGCAGGCTGAGGCTGAGGCTGAGGCAGGCTGAGGCTGAGGCTGAGGCTGCGACTGCGACTGCCGTTGCCACTGCGACTGTCATCGCAAATGCGACTACGACTGCGAGAACAGCAGAATTCTACAACTGGATTCTCATCTGAATCTTAAGGGGAATGCTTCCAAATATGCTGCTACACATCGCTGTTAGGTTGCTTTGCCGGGATAATTGAAGTCGAGTGCGTCCTTGGGAGGCTCCGTGGTCACGCGGGTCCGTCTTGGGGCGGTCTTGAAGCCCTCTGGGATCATCCTGGCAGCTATCTTGAGCCGTCTTGGGCTAGATTGTGGCATCTTGGCGGCCGATTGGAGCATCGCGGGCAAGTTTGGAACCATCATCATGGAGCCATCCTGTGGACCATCTTGGGCCATCTCGGGGCATTGCTGGGCCGTGTTGGGAACATCTTTGGGCGGGGGTGTTATCATGGGGGCGAGCGCATCAATTCTGAATAGGGTTGGTATTGCTACGCGACCCCCTCTCATGCCAGCCAGCTAATCAGCTAGCAGCTGCTGTCCCGCTACGCTCCCGCATGGGAGCCCGCTGTATTCTTGGCGATTAGCGTGTCCCTACCAGCTCTTTCGCCCGCTTGTCCTGTTAGGTTGGCCTGTCGTTTGATTACCTTGACGGCGCGCAGCTGCCTCCGTCGCTCGCGATCAAAAAGTGTCCCTACCAGCCCCAGACAGAAATGAGGTCAATGCGATTTGCGGTGACCAGGGAAACGCAGGAGCAAACGCTGGAGCAAAATGGGGGGTAGCCGTTAAGCTGACGCTCGGGATCAGGATGAACATACCCAGGAGCCAACAAGACATGCTTTCGCGGAGCTTTCGATATGCATGCAGGCAGCTTGAACCATGTTGGGACCGTCTTCGGGCCATTTTGAGCCCGCTGGGGCACTCCTTGCGCCGGTTGTAAGTTTTGGAGCCACAAAGCCCAAATCATTCGTGAGGTGCTATGTCACCTCGTAACGGCCGCGCACGACAGGACAGTGTTTGAGCCAACGCCTAAACAGCTTCGTCCATGGCGATGGTTTCTGCTAGAAGTGAGGAATCAGGGTCTGACATGAACGTTCCAGCCTGAACTACAAAAGACCGCGTTGTGCATTGAGACCACAAACAGTAACAGCTTCGATGCACTACGCGGCCGCGGAGCAGTGCCCAGCGCGAGTACCGCTGTCAATATGCACGAGCAAATTCGCAGCACAGGGCAACTTGGCACTATCTGGGGGCGTTTTCGCCCAAGACTGCGCTCGTCCAGGTGTGGTTGACTAGATTCTATAGGCATACGCCACATCCGCCGACCCCTTTTGTGAATGTTGCGAGGCCAGGAGTTTCTGGCCAGCGGCGTCTTGTGTGAGGGTGCGGTGTCGCGCGCGGGGGGTGGCAGATGCGTGGGGGATCCAAATGTTTGCGTGATGCCGGTGGTCTGGGGCGTGTTTTGCGAGCGCCTTGCGTGCTGGGCACCCGGGTGCGGGGTGTCCTTGTGGGGGGTCGGCCTTTCGACCCGCAACCAAGCGGAGGACCACCGGAAGACGAAAGGAGCAAGAGTAGCGTGCGGAAGCTGTGATCAGCGAGGCATCGCCGCGAAATATGTGGCAGATGAGTCGAAACGGGTGAAGAGGCCGTTGACGTTCGCAGCGCGCACGAAGCAGTTCGCGCGGCAGCGGCACATTAGCGCCGAGCAAGATAGTGAGCACGTCGCGAGGAGGAGTAAGGCTGTATGCGCGGAGTGTATTGCAGTTGGCTTGACGGCTCGCAGTACGGAAGCGTCTGGGGGTCTTTTGGGGGCCTCCTGGGGGCCTCTTGGGGGCTCCTTGGGGCGTCTTGGCGGCCTCTTGGGGGCCTCTGGCGGCCTCTTGGGGCACTCTTGGGGCCCCCTGGGGCTCGTGGGGGCGGAAAACTAGATTTTTGAATTTTTGGTTGCCCTCTTGGGCCTCTTGGGCCGTTTTGGGGCCATCTTGGGCCGTCGTGGGACCGTCTTGGGGGGCCTCTTGGGCCGTCTTGGGGCGGTCTTCGAGGCCTCCTGGGCCGTCTTGGAGCGTCGGAAAGCCCACGAGACGAAGTTGTGCAACATATACGTTTTACGCAGGAAATGAACATTTTTTCTGCGTCTTGGGACCCTCTTGGGACGCATCTTGGAGGCCCCTTGGGGGCGTCATGGGCCAGCTGGAGACCATCTCGGGTGTCTTTGATCGCTCTGGGACCGTGTGGGGCCATGTTGGGCTCTCCTGGAAGCCACTTGGGCCGCTCCTGGAGCGCTCTTTGGGCCGTCTTCGGGGCCCGCTTGGGCCGTTTTCGGCGCCTCATGAGCCGTCTTGGCGCCCTCTTGGGCTGTCTTGGGGCCCCCTTGGAGGCTTCTTGGACCGTCTTGGTGCGGTCTTGGGGTCCTCTTGGGTCGTCTGGGAGCGGCGGAAAGCCCAAAAAACGAACTTCGGAGGGAACGGGCCAACTTTTTGCGTCCAGAGGCCCTCTTGGGGCGCATCTTCGATGCCTTGGGGCCTCTTGGGGGCATCTTGGGCCGTCTGGAGGCCATCTTCGGTGTCTTTGATCGCTCCCGGACCGTTTGGGACCATATTCAGCTCTCTTGGAGGCCACTTGGAACGCTCCTGGAACGCTCTTGGGGCCGTCTTCGGGGCCCGCTTGGGCTGTCTTGGGCGCCTGTTGGGCCGTCTTGGGGCCCTCTTGGGCTATCTTGGGACCCTCTTGGAGGCTTGTTGGGCCGTCTTGGGGCGGTCTTGGGGGCCTCTTGGGCCGTCTGGGAGCATCGGAAAACCCAGAAGGCGAATTTGTGAAACATGTACGTTTTACGAAGGGAATGGGTCAATTTTTGCGTCTAGGGACCCTCTTGGGGCGCATCTTGGAGGCCTCTTGGGACCTCTTGGGCCGTCTAGGAGGCCTCTTAGCCCGTCTTTGGGCCATCTTGGGCGTCTTGGAGCGCTCGTTTGGCGTCTCGGGGCCCTCGTGGGCCGTCTTGGAAGCGTCTTGAGGCCTTCTTGGCTCGTCTTGAGCCCTTTTTGGGCCCGAAAAAGCCCCGCGACGCGCTCGTCGTCGGCGAGGGGGGGGGGGGTCAAATCTCCGGTTTGGGGTCCCTGGGGGGGGGGGGGGGATAGGGGGGGGGGGAACACTCTCACACGCCTAGAGACCCACAAGGGGTCGGCGGATACGTAGTCGGCGATTTTGTGATAATCGCGCTACCGCCAAACAACAGCATCATCAATATCTTCAGCTGGCTTCACCCCCTGGGGCTCTCCTGGGGCCTTTTGGGTAGTCTTTCGGGCCCTCTTGGGGCCTTTTCGGAGGACATTGGGCAGCACAGGGGTGGACTCACGTAAGGCTCCCCCAGTCGGAGCTCGAACACTTGCCTCTCGGGGCCCTCTCGGGGCCCAACTGGGCTTCTCTTGGGCGATCCTGGAGCCACCTGGAGGCCTCAGAAGCTTGTCGCAAGCGAAAAGGGGAGAATGCCAACATACAGGACAGGCATGTTTGTTATCATTTAGCGGTTATTGTTGCTTCTCAGGTGTCTCATTGCGGGGCTTGATGCCACCTGTAGCAGACTTGGGCTGTGTCGGCGCCTATGCTTGGGGCCACCTCAGTCTTGCGCCATCTTGGAGGCCATCTCAAGGCGTCTGGGTCCATCTTGGAGCCATCTTGGTTCAAAAGCCTCCCACGAATGCCGAGGCTAAAGTCCTTCAAGCACTTCAGATTTTCCAGTGAGCGCAGGGGTAGCATTAATTTGCCTGCCCTCGTCGGAGCCCGAAACATCGCCTTTCGGGGCCCTGTTGGAGTGCTCTCGGGGCGCTCTTGAGCGCTTTGGGGGCCGTCTTGGAGCCTCATGTGTCTCTCTTGGAGCCCTCTTGGGCGATTCAGGGGCAATCTTGAGGCTTGAGAAGCCAATCGGACGAGAAAAGGCGAGACGATGCCAACCACTGAAGCGCCGTAGGCTCTTCAGGGGTGTTGGCCTCTCGGGGATCTCATCGGGAGGCTCCTTGCCGCCCATTCGGAGCCGTCTTGTGGCGGTCTTGAGGCCTCTCGGAGGCATGTTGGAAGTTTCTTTGAGTGTCTTAGGATATCTCTTGCCATCTTGGAAGCCCTCTTGGGCTGCCTTGGGCCATCTTGGGCCATCTTTGACGCTGCGATGTGTCGGCCCCCTCTCCTGGTCTCCCGTCCAGGGGAGGGGTGAACCCCTCCTAGTTCTTCCTCCTGAGCTGTTTTTTGAGGGTCCCAGGGCCAGCGGAGGTCCCCAGGGCCATGAAAGCCGTGAACAACTCTCCAGGTCGCCCATATGGGGTCGAAGTAGAGTCAACCCGCATGGTGAGGATGAGCAACTTCCCAAGGTTACCCTTGCATCCTTCCCCTTCGGCCCATTCTTGGCCGCTTTCGCTGGCCGCGCCCCGCTCGCAAAGTTTCGACATGCCCTTACCGGTCGAGCCTGGCGCCTACACGGCGCATTGGCGAATAAAACGTCAGGAGCCGTGCAATTGTGAAACCCACTGTGGAGAGCATCGGGATCCATCGCAAATCCGAGCTGAAATTTCCCAGTGGCCTCATCGTGCGCCCGTATGGTACGGGTTGCTTGTAGAGGGGATCGGTGGATCGCACCGCATTGCCGATGCATCGGCGATGCGGCTCGATGTGGAGCCCGAAGTTCTGCACGCCGACGTCGCCGATACGTCGCCGATGCGTCGCCGAGGCAGCGATGCCGCGCCGTCCTCCGGCCCCGTCTGCGTCGGGCACACTCGGGCGGCCTCCAGGGACCCAGGGCCCCTCTGCTCCAGGGCCCGGCCCCCCTCGCGTTCAGGTACGGGGACGGGAACGTCCACGAGTGCCGCGCCCAGCGTGACGGCCGCCGGAGGAGTGCAGCGCGCCGTGATCTCCATGAGCGTGCTCAACGTGGATTACGCCGGGCTCATGGCAGACGAGGCCAGGCTTAGCGCGCCGCGCCTCGGCTCGCCTGCGGCCCGCAGGAGCCAGGCATCGAGGTTTTTCGTTGGGGGCACAGGGTCGGGAGAACGTCAGAGTATCCGCTCGGGCCTGCCCCGTCGGTGCTGATCCTGGGCCCAGGCCAGGTGGATCGCTGCGCTCGTCTTCTCGGAGGCCTGGAAGTTTGTACTTGCCCAGACCTCTGGCGAAGCGTGAAAATCGCGCCAGTGGATTCTCGTAATTTTAGGTTTCTGCGGTCGTTCCAGGGTCTGGGACTGTTGAGAATGATTCAGTGTGAAAATTACCTGGGGCATTGGGTTTCCCGCCTTCGTCACCGCCTTCCTGGGTAAATGTGGCGCTCGGTTCATCTCTCTCCGCCTTCGTGTACAGCTGCCTCGTCTTCTCCATCGGCACCTTCCCCGCGTTCCTAGTGCCCTGCGTCGCCTTCGCGCCATTTTGGCCGCCTGAGTTCTGCCCCGCACCTGGCGTTGCTCTTTGCTTGTTTTCCGCAGCTGGTGGCATAACTAGCCTGCCCCTGCTAGCCTGGCGTTCGACCCGTCTCGCGCGCCCGCGTCCCAAAGTATCCCCACCAGCTCCCCCTGCCTGCCCAGCGTTCGACCAGTTTCGCGAGCCAGCGTACCAAACAAGTATCCCCACCAACCTTTCCAGAAACGATACCCGTGAGAGTTGACAGGGGGAGAGGAAGATACACGCATAGTCAAACAGCGAAGGAGGCTTGGGAGGCTCAGTGGCAAACAGCGAAGGAGGCTTTGGAGGCTCCGTGGCCACCTCGAGCCGTCTTGGAGCGGTCTTGGGGCCGCTTGGGGCATCTTGCGAGACATCTTGAGCCAACTTGGGCTATCGGAACCATCTTGGAGGTCATCTTGGGCTCTCTGAGGCTGCTCGGGGGCCTCTTGGGTGCCTCTCGGGTGCCTCTCGGGTGCCTCTTGAAACCCTCTTGAGAGCCCTGGAGGGCCTCTTGGGGCCATCTTGGAGGCGGTCGGTCAAACGAGAGGGGGGTACTCGATGCCCTTTTCCCACCTCGGAGGCCACGGTCCTCGTGAGGGGTGTCAAACATAGGCCCTGCCAGAGGCCGGACAAAGGAGCCCCCGACACTTCGCGACCCCTCCCGAAAAAACCTCAGGGAGGGGACGGGGAAGGTTCCCTTCCCCGAAAGGAAAAGGGGTTGTGGAAAAGTTTAAAAACCATCCTTCGACCACCTGTTGCCCAAAAGGCTGGTGGGATTCGGCTCTTGGGAAGGGGTCGAACGCCCACGGAGCCCACGAGTCGGATTGATCGAGCCGTCGGAATTCCAGGAGCACCGATGTCGGTAGTCGCCTCCGCCAGCAGAAAATTATTCCGATGTTGCTGCGCAGCGGGGGCAACCTTTGGGCCCCCGATAGTCATCGTTCATTATCCAGCTGCGTGCGGCAAGTCCCGCTCTCGTGCCAGCCCAGTATTCTGGGTGGCGACTGTTCCAGGGGGCGCGGGATGCCGTAAAGCATGGCACCTGTCCTCAAGCTTGGGACAGCCGTGACGAACACGACGACGACGATGGTGGCGGCGCAGATGGTTGATCACAAGAAGGCGCGGTACCCACCAGGGCCTGGCTTGGAGCTCGTCCCCATGGTTTTCGAGGCCGTGGGGCGGCCCTCCGAGGAAACCGCCGCCTTCATTCGAAACTACGGCGGCGGCTTCGGGGATGACGAACGCTCAGAGCTTCTGAGCAGGCCGTGGCGGGAGATCTCCGTGACGCTCCACTCGGGGAGCGCCGAGATACTCTTCAGCGCGCTGGGCCAGTGAGCTGGCGTCGACAATCGCCGCTGCGAGCACGACCACCACCTCTTCGACTAACACCACAGTCCCTCCAAGCATCGCCAACATAATAATCACCACACCCACCGGCACGACCACCATCACGACTATGACATCCACCGCCGCCGACGCCGACTACCACCGCGACTAGCACGGCTACCCCGACGGCGCTTCCGCCTATCACATCCACGACTTCCGCACGTCCGCCAGCACGACCACCACGACCATCACGACCACCACGACCGCCAACACGCCCACTGGGCGCGACTGCGGGCGCCGTCACCCTGGCCTGCTTGGCCTCGGGCGTGGCTGGCGCCTCCTTCGGCGCGCTGGCCGCCATCGCGGTGCTGCGGCTCTGGGGCCCGCTCCGCTTCACGGCTGAGGCGCGGGGCCAGCGCTGGCTGCTGCTGGCGATGATGGAGGCGTGGGCGTTTGTCTTGTACAACGTGGGCGGCGCGCCACTCTTCCACCCGGGGAGGGTGGTGGGCCAATTGGTGCTCACAGATGGCGTTGCCATCGTGACGCCTGGCGACATGGTGTACGCCGAACGTTTGCCGGCGGCTGGGCCCGACATCGCGGCGTTCCGCTTCGCCGCGGCGCGGTGGCTTCTTCCGCTTGGGATCGCTTCCGAGGCCACGTGCAGGTTCGGGCGCGCCCCGTCGATAACCCGCGAGGCCGCCTGGCAGGCCGCCGCGACGGCCGAGGCGGACGCCGAGTTCGCTCGCCGCCATCCTGGGGCGCCCGTCTCGCCCAGGGGCACGCTCATCCCCGTGAGCGGCGGGCTGCTGCCAGGAACGGGCCCTTCTGCTGCTGCGTTCCCGCGCCCGCCGCCGTGGGCGCCGCCGCTGGGCTGCCGCCGCCCGCTGCGCTGCCGCCCGCCCCGCTGGCCGCCCCCGCTGCAGGTGTGCCCGTGGCAGCGGGGGCTCCGCCCGCCGTCGGGGCGCCGCCTGGGCCTGGCTTGAGGGAGGACGGCGGCCCCTGCTCGGGGCCAGCGGCGAGGCGCCGGCTGGCTGGGCGTGGGTGGTCGCGGAGGACGTCGACTCCTCCCCCTCCGGCTCGGTGGTGCAGGTCGGGCCGATCTCTGGCATCATGCTGGCGTCGCGGGCTGGGGGGTGCGGGATTGTCGCGCTCGGCGGGGGGATCGCGGCCATGGCCGTCATCCTGGGGGATTGGCGTCTGGCCGACTTCGCCGCGAAGTGGCGAGGGTCCCATCCTCGGACTTCGGCGCTCACACCTGGCGGTGGGGGCCCGCGCAGCTGGCCCTCGGTGGCCGAGGTCGCGAAGGAGGCGCTCGTCTCACAGTCCGTGCACGTGCAGCCCGCTGCCGCCTGCTGTGTGACTTGGCTGCTTCGCGAGGGCGGGCCGGTCCAGCGTTGCGAGAGCCGGAAGGCGCGCGAGCGGCTTAGCACCTCGGACCATGGGGTCTCCGAGCACCGCGCCCTCAGCACGGCGCCAGAGGACCTCGCGACCATCGACGAGGTCAACGTGTCGAACCTCGTCGGGGTAGAGCGCTTGGTCAGGAAGATGCAGCCGATCGAGCATTTCTGGGGGGGAAAGCAGCGGGGGCAGGACTCGACCCATCAGACTTTGCCGCAGGAGGAGATCAACGCCTTCGTGGGCGGTAACGGGGGCTTCCAGCCGCCCGAGCAGCGCGGTCTGCAAGGGGCTGCTGGACGGTGTTGGCAGGGAGCTCGAGCGCGTGAGCCAGCTCAAGAAGAACGCGTGCAACTTGCGGGAGGAAGCGAAGGCCGCCTCCGGGGCGGCGGCCGGATGCGCGAAATCACGATGGACTCATGCCTGGGGGGGCCTCCTGGCCCAGCCCCCTTGGGCGAACTGTGCCTTCTTCTGCAGATGCCTGCGACGCTGGGGATGTGCGTGGCAGGTGCGGCGGGGCGGTCGCGGAGCGGCGGCGGGGCATCTTTCCGCTGCCCGCGCCTGCCGCCGCTGACCCCGGCGGTCTGGCTGCCGGCGGGTGCTCGCGCAGTGTGCGGGGGCGCGCGCGGCGGGGTGCTTCCGCGCCGTGGCTCGAATGTAGGCGGTGGAGTCGCTCGGCGGCCTCGGTGGCGCTGGGGGCGGCGGCGGCTCTGGGCTGCAGGCCGACGCGGCCCTGGCGCGGCGGCGCTCACTGTCGCGGATTGCGGTGTCCGTCTTGCAGCTGGGCCCCCCGCCGGGCGATCCCCAGCCTCTGGCGGCCCTGCAGGAGCTCCAGGCTGCTTTGTCCTCCGACGGCTCGCTGTCGACCAGGGCGGAGGCGACGGGCGTCTCCCGGCTCTCGCTGCCGCCTTCAGGTGACCGCCCCGTGGCGCAGGGGACCGCCGCTGGAGCCCGAGGTTTTCGATTCCGCCTATCGTGATATTTCAAGAAAGGTCTTGCCAAATACCGATGTTTTGCAGCTGATGCAGGGCGTTGCATTCGATGGGCCCTGCGTGGGTTTCATTTTTCGAGACCGTCGTCTGTGCGCAGCCTTGGGAGCGCGTCTGCTCGACGCCAGAGTCATCGATCTCGCCGGCGACCCCGGCGGGGTCATTGACGAGGTTGAGAACGCCCGCGGAGCGTGGGCGGCAGCGTCTCGTCGTCGACGCCCGCCCCGCCAACTTCTCGTTCGGCGCGCCCGCCGACGTTAGCTCGTCCACGGGCGCGGCGCTGGATGCGGTCGAGTTTTCCCGACGGCGCCAACTTGTGGACCGCCTCGGCGGACGTCGCGGACGCGTTCTACAGCGTGGAGCTGCCGCTCGCTTGGCGCCCGCGCTTCGCGCCGCCGCCGATCGACGCTGTGAGGCTGGGGCGTGGTGCCGACCGAGGGCGTGGGCAGTCTCGGCTGCTGTGGCCGCGTCTCGCGGTTCTTCCCATGGGCTGGGCCCGCGCGCTGGCCGTCTGCCAGCGGGCGTGTCGGAGTCGGCGGCCGATCCGGGATCGTGGGCCGCCGGACCTGCCCGGGGCTTGGCGCGAGGTGCGCGCCTCGGGTGCGTCGACAACTTCGCCTCGCTCTCGCTGGGCCGCAACGCGCTCGAGCAGATGAGGGGCGACAGGGTCGCAGAGCTGCGCGAGGGCGGCCTGCCTGTGCGCGAGGAGGAGAGCGCCGCGCTCCATGCGCAGCTGCTGGGCTGGGTGATCGACGGCGAGCGGGGCGCCGTCTTTCCGACACTCCGTAGGGCCTGGCGTTTGATTTTCGCCGCGCGGGCGCTTCTGGGCACGCCGAAGGTCTCGGCCCAGCAGGTGGGGCAGGTGGTCGGCCACGGCGTCTTCCTCCTCATGGTGGGGCGCCCGCTCCTGTCGATCATCTGCGCAGTGCGCCGCTTCGTCGTCGAGGCGGGGGTGGCCCCGCGGGCGTGGTGGCCTAGCGCGCGGCGGGAGCTGATGTGTACCATGGGCGTCGCGCCGCTGGCCCAGGCAGACCTCCGCGCGGAGCGGCTGGGCCGAGCTTGGTGCGCGGGCGCTCCCGAGTGGGGCTGGGGGGTGTGCGAGCGTGATTTTGACAAGTGTGGTTCGGGAGCTCGGGGGGGTTCAAGAGCGCTGGCGTTTCCCAGATCCCAGTGCCAGGGCCCCCAGGGGGCAGCTCGTCGCACCTGCGGAACTCCTCGAGATGCCCATCGACTTCGAGCCGCCTTCGACACCCAGGGACATCGTGAACTCGTCAGCTGCAGCGAAGCTCATCGACAACGTGGAAATCAACAGCTCATCGGTCGAACCTCGGAAGCAATGGCGGCCTGCCGTCGTCGAGCCCCTGGACTTCGAGTCGCTTCGGGAACCTCAAGAGCAACGACAGCCTACCGTCTTTGAGCCTCTGGAAATGGAGCTGGTCTCGGGTGAGTGGGTCGTCGTCTCCAGTGGGGCCCGGGGGCGGGGGGGGCGCGTCGCGGCGTTGGATGGGGGACTCTCGTCCACGCATTGCGACGTGTTCTTCGAGAATCGAAGCAGCATGGTCATCGTGTTCTCTTCTTCTCGGACTGCTCGTTGCCGTCCTGGCTCTCTCCATGGGCTGCTCCTCGCCGCCGAGGATGGCCCGCGTCTGCCGCCAGTGGGCCGCCTTCGCCGTGGCGGGCGGCATCGGCGCGGCGCTTCCCTGGATCCCTTCTGAGGCGAGACCGGCCGACCTGCCACCGCCCCGCGCGCTTCGGATTGGCGCTCGGCCCCATTGCGGCGCAGTCGCCAGTCTGGCCGCCGCGCAGGGACCCCGCCCCGCAGGCGGCGCGACCTCCGGCCGTGGCGGGGCAGCCTCCACTTCGGAGGCGCGCTGCGAGCCGCGTGGCTTTCGGGCGGGCCAGACCGCCGTTGCGGGGTCGCCAGGTGGCCGGGCGCGGCCCGAAGGCGGAGGCGGCAGTGGCGGCGGCCAGGCGTGCTGGGGTGGCAGCGGCGCGGGCGTCCGAGGCAGCGGCCCCGCGGGCATCTGCGGGCCACGTGCTGAGGGCTCTCTCGGCGAACGAGGCCACGAGGGCCAAGTTTCTGGGCCTGTGGGAGGAGCTCTCGGCCTGGGTGGCGACTGCGACCGCGCCGCGGCGGGCCGAGACGGCAGTCGACCTGTTGGCGCAGTGGATGGACCAGCAGGGCGCCGAGGGCTGGAACCCAGAGCTGGGCGCCTACGTGCTGGCGGCGCTGAAGTTCATGATGCGGCCGTTCTCGCGCGGGGGGCTCGGGCTGCCGCGGGCGCTGCAGGCCCTGCGGGGCCGGCGGGGGCAGGTGCCCGCCCGCTCTGGGCCCCCGTTGTCACGGGAGATCGCGGCGCTCGTCGCGACGAGCCTGGTCGACGAGGGCCAGCTGCGGGCCGCGATCTACGAGCTGGTGGCCTTCGCGGGCTGCCCGCGGCCGTCGGAGGCCGTCTGGCCTCTGGGGTCGCAGCCGAATCCCCGGCGCCTGGATGAGTATGTGACGTTTGGTCGCTGGTGCTCCGCCCCCGCGTGCTGGCGTTGCCAAGCAAGCGACGCAGGTCTGTGACGAGGTGACCCCCTTCGACGTGCCGTCCTGCGGTTTCCTGCCAGCAGCCTTCCGCTGGCTGAAGGCGACGACTCACCCAGGCACGCCGTTGTTCCCGATCGCCCTCGTGCAAGCCGGCGCCCTCCTCAGGCGGGTGGCGAAGGGCGTCGGCGTCGCGGCGCTGGCGCCGCAGCTGTGCCTGCTCAGGCAATCGGGGCCGTCCATGGGGCTGGCCATGAAGCTGCGGGCTCTGGCCAGCGTCGAGCTGCGCGGCCGCTGAAGGACCTGCGCGTCGGTCGCCCAGTGCTTGAAGTCGGGGCGCGTCAACGAGCAGCTGCAGAGGCTGGCGCCCGCGTTGCACGCGCGGCCCTGCCGGCCCCCGCTCGGCTGGCCTCGCTCCTCAGCTGGCGCTGAGAAAGCTGTTGGGGCCGCGCCGCAGGCGTTTCCTGGTGCCGCCCGTCTTTGTGGAGGTGTTCTTAGGCGCGGGCGTGCTGGCGGCTGCTATGCACAAGGAGGGGCTCCCTCGTCGTCCCGGCTGGGGCTTGACAGTGCCCAGAGTGGTGCGGCTTCTGCGAGGCTGGCTGGATGCTGGGCTCATGTGGGGCTACCACTTCGGCGTGCCCTGCCAGACGTGGACCGGGATCAGAGATGCTGGGCCCCTTCGCGCGCGGGGCCATGCCGGGTCCTGGCCCAGCAAGCTGAGGTGTGACGACGAAATCTGGGGCCTTGCGGCCGTGGCGCCCCCTGTAGGTAAAGGTCGTATCGCGTTGGCAAACAAGCTTGTGATATTATGGGAAAGCTTCTGGTCTAGCTGTCGTCGTATGCAGATTTCATTCAGTATCGAGAGCCCCGCAATGTCTAGGTTGTGGTTCATTCCTTCGCTTCAGCGGCTTCGTAAACAACCGCATGTCTGTTGGGCTGTCTGTGTCAGGGCGGGGCACCTTTGAAGAAACCCGCGAGTCTCTTGCGGCTCCGTGTAGATGTGGAATCGTGTGTTCGCCTGTGTATTGGCTCTCGCATGTGTTGTAGCAGGACTGGCAAGCCTCATCATATTTCAAAAAAGATAGAGCTCCGGGAAGGCCTCTGTGGACTCCTGCTGCGCAGCCTTGCCCGAAGCCGCTCGCCGCGAGATAGGCGAGAGCTCTCGTCAGTGCCCGTCTGCAGTCAAGTGCCCTTTCCATGACGTCCGTGTGGCTTGGCAGCTGACAAGAGAGGAGAAACCCTCCGGTAGTGTCGGGATGGTTTGGCCGTGGGGCCGCGCGACAGAGTATAATTTGGCTTTTGAATCTTCTCTGCATGGTGCTGCCTTTTGCACTCGAGTGCGTTCCGACGTTGGTCTCGGAGAAACCATCGTGTGGGCATGGTCTTTTCGATTGAAGTTGAATGCCTTTAGAAGGGGCAAGAGAGGCCGAATGCTTGCATTCCGTAGCCTTCGGCTCTCGAGCTCCCACCTTCCCATCCTTGTCTCTCGCTGCAGCGTTTCGCCGTGGCCGTGGGGCCGCGCGACAGAGTGTAATTCGGCTATTGAATCTTTTCTGCCTGTGGCCCCAGTGTTGCGCTTTTTGCTGCCTTTCGCATTCGATTGCGTTCCGACGCTGGCCTCGGAGAGACATCGTGTGGGCATGGTGATGACGATGACGATGACGATGCCGGTGACGATGATGATGCAGATGATGCTGGTGATGATGTTTCTGATGATGTTGATGCTGGCTTTGGTGATGCCGTTGCTGCTGCTGATAATGATGCCGCTGATGACGATGATGACGGCGATGCTGATGATGATGAGGGTGGCGACGATGATGATGATGATGGTGATGATGGTGATGATGCTGCTGATGCTGATTATGATGGTGTTGATGTTGATGACGATGGTGATGCTGATGCTGATGCTGATGCTGATAATGGTGATGGTGGTGGTGGTTGTGGTTGTGGTGGTTGTGGTGGTGGTGGTGATGATGATGAGGATGATGATGATGATGATGGTGGTGGTGGTGGTGGTGATGATGGTGGTGGTGGTGGTGATGATGATGATGATGATGCTGATGATGATGATGATGATGATGAGGAGGAGGTGGAGGAGGAGGAGGAGGAGGAGGAGGCGGCGGAGGCGGCGGAACAAGAGGAGGACGAGGAGCAGGAAGGTAATTCGGAAGGTTGTCATATGCATCTCGTTCGTCCTGGCTTCTCGATGAGCTCTCTTGGATCTCATTCGGGCCGTCTTGGGGATTTCTTGGGCTCATGTGGGGCAGTGTTGGAGGGCCCTTGGGGCCGTCTTGGAGATTTTTTGGGCCGTCATAGGGCCCTCTTGGGTCGTTTTGGGGCTCTCTTGGGCCGTCTCGTGGCCCTCGTGGCTGTATAGGGGGGTTGTCTTGGGGCCTTCATGGGACCATCTTGGGGCCATCTTGGGCCGTCGAAGGGCCTTCTAAGGCCGTCTCGGGTCTCTCCAGAGGCTCTGTTGGCCGTATTGGGGCCGTCTTGGAGGCCTCTTGGGCCATCATGTGGTCCTCTTTGGCCGTCTCGCAGCCCTCTCGGGGGCCTCTGGGGCAGTCTTGGGGCCAACTTGGAAGCTTTCTGGGCCGTCTTGTGCTGGCGGGGGCCTCCACGTGCGAGAACGCGAACATTTTCACAAACCCCAGGTAATCATTTTTTTGGTAGGACCCTACTGGAAGTCCTTTAATGGCCCTCGATGGGTCATCTTAGGCCAGCTTGTGCCCTTTTTGTGCCGTCTGAGAAGCATCTTGGGTCATCCCAGAAGCTCGGGAGCGCGGACGCATTTTTTTTTACGATGGATCCTGGCCTCGGGAGCTCGGCAAGGGCGTGGGGAGTTCGGCTCCCTCGGCTGGAGGCGCCATGTGGTCTCAGGAGGGTCGTCCCCCTGGCACGTCCCCCTGGCACGTTCCGTGGCACGTTCCGTGGAACGTTCCCTGGCGCGTCCCTCGGCACGTCCCCTGGCTTGCGCGTCCACTGGCACGTCGGCGGCGCGTCCCCTGATTCGCATCCCATGGCACGTCCCTTGGCACGTTCCATGGCCTGTCCCCTGCCGCTTCCCCTGGCACGTCCCCTGGCGTATCCCCTGTCGCTTCATTGGCACGCCCCCTGGTGCGTCCACTGCCACGTCCTCTGGCACATCCACTCGCGCGCCCCGTGGCATGTTCCTTGGCTCGTCCTGTGGCGCGTTCTCTGGCTCGTACTCTGGCGCTTCTCCTGCCCATTCCAAGACGCGTCCCCTGGCTTGTGCTTTGCCACGTCCCCTGGCGCGTCCACTGGCACGTCCCCTGCCCGTACCGTTGACGTGCAACCCTCCTAGGAACTTCCATTGTCATGTCCCCTGGTGCGTCCACTGCCAAGTTCCCTGGCACGTCCACTGGCGCGTCCCGTGGCACGTTCCCTGGATCGTCCTCTGCCGCGTTCCCTGGCTCGTCCTACGGCGCTTCCACTGCCCGTTCCGCGGCGCGTCCCTTGCCACGCTCCCTGGCGCGTCCCTTGGGACGTCCCCAGGCGTGAAGTCCCCTGGCACGCCCTCCTGGCACGCCCTCGTGGCGCGTCCCCTGGCACGTCCCCCGACCGC